CCTTTGTTGCAGCTCATCATTGTGTAGAGGATTCAACAAGACGCTGCATGTATCTGAAAAAAGCACCATTGGCGAGATTCACCTTGCCTGAGCCGTGTTGGAAGAAGAAAGAAGATCCCCATGCCATCACGTCTCGATCAACACTTGCTACTAGTAAATTATATTGTTATTAACCCGGCGAAAACAACCTTCATGTAAGAAATAATTCCATGTAAGAGATGATGAGAAGAGGAGACATTCCCCGCAAGAAAGAATGATTGAAAAAAAAAGGGAATAAAAACGCCTCGCTTTCAACAATGCGACCCGGCAGACAAATGGAACAAGATTTTTGTTTTGTTTTGCCCTTGTAAGGAACTTTTTTGTTTGTTTTGTTTTGTTTTGTTCTTGACACACGATTGCAGACATTGAGAGAACCTGCCATCGCCTGGAGACAGAATGTACTATTGCTGCCAGGGAGACTGCTGAGTCGGACGGGGAAACACAGGCTGCGTGGCGAGCTGGTCGAGCCCACCGCCTATGGGTTGCTGGTTATGCTGCCAGCCCATACCGGTGTTGTGGTCGACAAAGCTGCTCTGGCGGAAGGGGTTGGTGTTCCCCGTGGGCTGGGGGGCGAGGCCGCCTGGTGCTCCCATCCCTGACTGAGCCGTCGGTTGCGGCGAGATCTTGCGTGTGAACGGGTTGGTTCCCGTGGGGGCCGGTTGGAGCGGGGCCGCGGCGGCGCCCGTCGGAGCCGGGGCCAGGGCCTGCTGCTGTGGGAGGGGCGAGTTGGAGGCAGAGTTGTAGGGCGACTGCGTAGGGGATGCCCGCGCAAACGGGTTGGTCGACTGGCGGTTGCCCGCAGGGTTTCCCGTCGGGGTGGACAGCATGGACACCGGGGACCCCGGAGGCTGCTGCTGCTGCAGGCCTGTCAGGCCCGTGGGCTGTGGCGTGAGCATCGACTGGCGGAACGGGTTGGTGCCCGTCTGCATGGGCTGTAGGAGACCACCGGTCTGCATCGGCTGAAGGCCGGTCTGCTGCGGCTGCTGCGGCTGCTGCTGCTGCGGCTGCTGCAGGAAGCTGTTGACGGGCGTCTCCTGCGGTATCGCACCCAGGCCGGGCTGGAAACTCTGCTGCGGCTGCGGCTGCGGCGTGAAGCCTCCGAATCCGGCACCGGTAAAGTGAGGCTGAAGCAGCTGGGGCTGCTGCTGCTGCTGCTGCTGCTGCTGCTGGAAGCCCGCAATGCCGGTGGGCTGTGGTTGCTGGAACATGGGGTTGTTGCTCTGGAGAGGTATCCCGGTGGGCTGGGGCTGCTGGAAGGCGGCAGCATTGTTAGCGGGGATGCCCGTCGGCTGGGGCACCTGCATCGGCGTCTGGTTCTGTTCGATCGATTCGAAGAAGTCGATGAGGTCGGGTTCAGGGCCCTTGGCATCCTTCGTCTGCGTCTCGGCCTTTGTCCCTGCCGGCGCACCGGACGTGGGGAAGGGGTTGTTGTCGGCAGGGGCAGGCTTCGAGGACGAGGACGAGGTCGGGGCCTCACTGTCGGTCTTCTTGGTGAGGAAGGGCTTGGGCTGGGCGGTGCCGTCGGCCTTGCGTTTGGCCGTCTGCTCGGCAATGTACTGGCGTCGGTTAACTTCGAAATCGGGGTCCTTGAGGTAGTCTTCCAGCTGGCGCGCGAGGTGGACGGGCGCGTGCTTGAGCTTGGGAACCTCGACGCGGGTGTGGTACTCGTGCTGCCGGGCGACGCCGAGGAATGCGACGACAACCTCCGTCTGCCGCGTGAACGTACGGTAGATATCCATGGCCCTCTCGGCGTCCGGCTTGGACATTTCAAAGAAGCGGCCTGGATTCATCATGTCAGCAATCTGAGCCCCTCGCCAACACCTTGGTAGGGAAGTCCTTGCCAGACGTACCTAGAATATTGATCAGTCCCTGGTTGGCAACCTGGAACAGCGACAAGAGGTCGAGGACGAGAAGTCGAAAGGCCGTGATGGTGATCTCGTTTTCGGGTTCGTTCAGCAGCAGCTAGAAGCCGAAAGTGTCAGCATACATATAGCCGGAGCAGTCCATCCGGGGGGGGGGGGGGGGGGGGGGGGGGNTGCCGTCCGAGTTGGTCGACAGCGTCCATGTAGAGTCTTCGACGTTGATGTCATGAGGTAAGTCACCCTGTTTTTTTTTTTTTTTTTTTTTTTTTTTTTTTTTTTTCGGGGGGTGGGGGGGGGGAAGGGGGGGGGGGGGGGGGGGGGGGGGGGGGGGGGGGGGGGGGGGGGGGGGGGGGGGGCTGTGGGTAGACCCACGTCACACTTGAGCAGAGCATGCAGCTGACGCTGGACCGACTCTGTCTGTCGCAGAAGGCCCTTCTCGACAGTCGTATTCTCCAGCTTGTTCTCGCCGACCCTGACCCAGTCGGTGCCCGTGTCGCGATAGGAGCGCACCCTCTCGGCGAGATAGGTAGAATAGTGACGGATATTTCGGCCTTGCGTGACAGCTATTGTCCTCCATTGCAGTCAGTAACGTGCTGCGGCATATCATAGTAGAAACATGACCCTTCTGAGTGCAAAAGAGAAAAAAAAAGGGGGGGGGGGGTTGTTGTTGGATTGGGTTGTGTGAACGAACCGTCGGCGAAGTGGCTGATGGCGAGCATGTTACGATGGCGGGATATATACGACAGCGTGACATCTGGCGACCCCTCACGCATCATGAGGTGAATGGTGATGAGACTCTTGAAGACGACAGTCCATGTGGAATCGCGGAGACGGTTCTGCAGGGCAAAGAGGACATCGGCAACGCCGGACTCTCCCGAGTGTGTTGCGACAAGGATGTGCTCGATGTACTTTGTCTTGGGCGGCGCATTCTGCAGATGAGAGAGGTATGGTCAGTAATCGAAAAGGCAGAAGCTGCGTCACTCCCCCGTGGGCTGGTCGGTCGGTCGGTCGGTCGGGCGGGGAGGAGGAGGGGGGGGGGGGGGGGGGGGGGGGGGGGGGGGCGCTGGAGAATGGCACGCACCTTGATCTTGGTGGCGCCTCTGACCGATTTCTCAAAGGAGCTGGACATGACGGCGGATTGGGCAGGCAGAGGACTGGCCTCGGATGATGGACAGCGTCGATGGGGTGGAAGAGGGAGAGGTTGCCTATCAGCCGAAGGGACTATGCTTGTCAGGTGTAGAGGACAGGTCCCTGGGTGATGATTGTCGGAAGGGCCAAGCCTCAACAACCAGCTTAATAGTAGTTGGTCGTATTACGAGTACGATGATGAGAGAAGATAGGCGCCGCCGGTGGTTGGGCAGCCAGCAAGGCCCAGCTCCTCACGTCTGTTAGTGGAAATGAGCGATGATACTTGATTTTCCGTAGACGCCATGCTGGGAGATGGAGGTACCTCCTTAACAGTCATCCATTTTCGTTCCTCGGTGGAGCACATGATTGATGGTCATAATCCACTGACGAAATTGCCATGGTTATCTACTGTTATTATCAGTATCACTCTTAGTACCAGTCCGACGGTATGCCGAAGTATCGATACAGGAAAGGATGAACGGAGATGGAAGTGAATTTTCATTCCGCGTCAGTCTCGTATTAACAACTGCACACCCTGGGGCAGAGTTTGACTCTAGGGTGTGCGGATTGTGTCCATGAGCCTCACGGTCATGTACAGATCCGTAATGTTGGATGATAGAACAAACATGCCCAGAAAACGTGTTTCATCAATTCTATCTGATACTATTCTACTGCTACTGATAGTAAAAACGGCACAATTGATGAAAGAGTTTTTTCTAAATGAAGAAAAAACAACAACTCGTACATTCGCATCAGCACCGGTACTCGTGCCAGCCACCGTCTGCCACGACACTTGCCGTAAGAGCCAGATATAGCTCATTGATCAGAGAGCGAGCTGGTCGTAGTACCGAAACCCCGCGATCCTTCGCTCGCCAAGGGAAAGGCCTCTTCCGTTCATGATAAATCAGAGCTTGCTTCAAAGGCGTCCGATGATGTAACAAGGTCGGTGTGCCGGACGCTTATCTCATGCTGGCATCTCTTCCCTTCCACCCAGACCACTGAAGCCCCGAAGGGAGAGTCTGAGCAGTCGGTCGGAGCGCCAGTAGCATCATCTGGTTCACGCAGATCTCATCATCTGCAGTACAATGTCAGCATACTGATCGTTGCATCGGCCATTGGACCTGGGTAGTAAGAAGCATGGGTGGGGGGTGCTTACACTTATTTGAATGGAAGGGATGGAGAAGAAAGAAAAAAAGAGAAAAAAGTCTCTGGTGGGGACGAGCCGCCAATTTATACTGCTGCGGATATTTGTCGGCCCATAATTTTTTTTTCCTGGTCCGGGTCCGACACTAGCAGTGGCAGGAGCGCCCCAGGATGGAGCTTGACCTTGCTACTGCCGGTTTATAGTTCGGGAGGGAACTTTGATCCTAAGACGACGGAACTCTGTGAATCAACCCCCCCCCCCACACGACCGCGGCCATGGCACTACCAGCGTGCCGTTGCGGCCTCACGATACGTCAGAGGACGGCTCTGAGGATCACTGCGCCGTCGACGCTGAGGCAGAATCCCTCTCGGGCCTTTTCAAGCTACGCAGCACGTCGTCGGTCGACCGTAGCGCCGGAGAAGAAGCGGCAGCTGCTTGAATCTTGGGCGCAATGTTTGTCTTTCCCCCCTTCCCTGACTCCGATCTTCATCTCTCCCTCTCTCCTTCTTCGCTCTAAGGTGAGTTGAATCCCTGACACGTCGTAGATGGTGACCGCGCAAACCTCCCACTCGAAAACGGCCGCGACGGCCGCTACTACGGATTCATAGGCAAGCGACGCAACGTGGGCAGGCAGCTCTCCTTTGCCGACCTGACCCTTCCGTCGGGTCAGGTCGTTCAGCTCTGCTCGCGAGCCGACTCCGATGCCGACGCCCACGCTCAGTTCCGCCAGGTCCCGGCCCACTGCCCCGTTCTTGTACACGCGCATCCCGACGGCTCGGCACCCGCCGCCGACGATGGGCCGGGCGGCAGGCCCACCATCAACCTGAAGAGCGTGCAGGTCCTCAACACGTTCCCCAAGGACATCATCGTCACCCCGGAGACCGTGTTCCCCCAGACGAAGCGCCATCTGCAGATCCGATTCCACGACGAGGTGCAGGCACGCCTACGCTTCCGATCATGGCTCAAGGCGGTGCTCAGCCGAGGACTGCTGGGCAGGGGCTTCACCGACATCGAGACGCCCACGCTGTTCAAGTCGACGCCCGAGGGCGCAAGGGAGTTTCTCGTCCCCACGCGCCACCGGGGTAAGGCCTACGCTCTGACGCAGAGCCCGCAGCAGTATAAGCAGGTGCTCGTCGCCAGCGGCATCGGCCGGTACATGCAGTGGGCGCGGTGCTACAGGGACGAGGATTCCCGCGCCGACCGCCAACCCGAGTTCTCCCAGCTCGACATGGAGTGGGCCTTTGCCGGCGCTGCGCATGTCAGGGAGGACATCGACGGCATCCTGCTCAGCGCTCTCGAGCTGATGCAGCCGTCCAGGAGCTACCAGGACTTCCGGAACGGCGACAGGATACCCGTCCTGCCAGAGCTATCAGAGCTATCAGAGCTATCGGCCGAAACCGGCGGCGAGGCGGCGCACGAGTTCACCACGCTCACGTTTGCCGAGGCCATAGCAAAGTACGGGTCTGACAAGCCTGATCTGCGGATACCCGGACAGGTAAGTCGACGGACTGGACTGGACTGCTGTCACGATGCGGATACTTCGAAAGACGGCGTCTAACATTCAGCGCCAGATCAGCCAGGTCCCCGTGCCCGACACGGCGCGCCATTTTGTCAGCATGATCTCGCACCTGGAAGACCCAATGGTCGAGGCCTTTGCCTTCTGCCTCGACGATGTCTCCCCCGACGTGACCCGCCGATTCGTCGTCGACTTCATGGACAAGGTGCCCAAGCCCTTCCTCGACAACCCGGACGGCATGCCGCAGGTGCTCGTCTTCGACTCGAGCAAGCCTCTCGGCGGCTTCTCGTCCATCGGCTTCGAGTACGAGCCCATCATCGAGGCAGCCTGCGGCGGGCAGGAGCTCAGCGACGGCGACATCGTCGTGTTCCAGGCGCGCCGGAAGCACGAAGGAAGACAGTACACATCGTCGTCCACCAAGATCGGCGACTTCCGCTCCCTGCTGTGGAGGGCGCTCGTCGAGGACGGCAAGATGGCCAGGCCGCGCATCGGCGACCCGGGGTCCCTCCGCTTCGCCTGGGTGACCGAGTTCCCCATGTTCCAGCCCGTCGAGGCCGACGAGCCGTGGAGGGCCGAGGACGCGGGTGCCGGCATCGCGGCAAGCCACCACCCCTTCACGGCGCCCCTGTCCAACCGCGACCTGGAGCTGCTCTTCGTCGACCCGCTGCAGGCCAAGAGTGCGGCCTACGACCTCGTCCTCAACGGCGTAGAGGTCGGCGGCGGCAGCGAACGTATCCACGTCGCAGAGGTGCAGGAGTTCATCATGCGCGACGTGCTGAAGATGCCGGAGAGCCGCGTCGCCGATTTCGGCCACCTCTTTGAGGCGCTGCGTGCCGGCTGCCCGCCGCATGCCGGTTTCGCTCTCGGCTTCGATCGTCTTGTGGCACTCCTGACCGATACCTCGACCGTGCGCGACGTCATTGCCTTTCCCAAGACGATGAAGGGGGAGGATCCGTTTGTCAAGGCGCCGAGCAGGATGACCAACCGCCAGCTTGCGCCGTACGGGCTGCAGCTCCGACCGGGGGAGTAGGTCTGGTGTGGTGACCTCTTCCTACTCGTCTATGTAGTACTATATCTGTATCATATCGCACTCGAGAAGAATATGCATTACGAGACACGTGGCACATGTAGAGGAGGATGCTCTTGCAGGTCCGCAATGGTACATATCTCTGGGTATATACGTTACCCAGCCGAAGAGGAATCCTCACCCATAGCCTCCACGGACACCGGATGCCTCTTCCGCAGGTGCTCGTCAACCTCGTCAGCTCGTCACTGTTGCCGTACGAAGACTTGCCGAAGCGCCTCGGGACAGATTGGACAGACTGCGCGTCGTGCCGTTATCGGGGACGGGCGCGGGCAGTCTCACGTCCGTCTCCGGCAGACAGTCCTTTGAAGGGGTCAGCAGAAGGTCCAGGTTCCTGAACATGCCCCCTAAGCCCCTTGCCCTGCTCTGAAGTTGCATCCCTCCGAAGCTATCCTCTAGGGTAAGGACATGTCGAATGACACCTGCCCGCATCCGATTCACTGCCGGAACGGCCGGTTCCTGACGGGTCCCGTCGGAATGTCTCTGAAGAGCTGGACAACCCAGCCGCCAGGATTCAGCTGCCTTGCAAGCCATGCCGGCCGGGATCAGGTGAGGCGACGTGCTATCATCAACGTATCAATCAGTCCTGAAGAGCAGTCCTGAAGAGTGCACTGCGCTTGACAATGATAACAGATAGCTATATAGGTCCATGGGTGGGTAGGTGGGCCATGAGCGGACCGTTTCTCCGAGTCCCAAGCTCAAGGCCAGTGCAATATTACATGTAATATTTCTCGATCATCATCATTATATATTACACTCTATCAGACGGTGTCAGCCCTATTGCAGTGTTGGGGATTGGAAGACTGAAAGACGGCAATATATTAACGTATCCATCTCACATCCGTTCGCCTCGGCAGGATTTTTGTTCTTGAATTTTTTTATATATAATTTTAAAAATTTTTTCTTCAAAATCCGATGCATGTATCGTATGTGTGCTGTAATACTCGTACACATACATGTACATGTCTTTCGGGCCGCGATATGCTACGGGTAGACGGGATCGCTATCATGTTGAATGGTTTACCAATATGACAGCACAGCTTGCTGCGGGAGGTGAGGTATTCATGTTCATCTGCTGGGAACCTGGGATGTTCGCCTTGCTCACATGCATGATGCATGTGGCATATGTCCAACCCTGCCGACACACATGCGCTGTTATCTCCTCATTCCTTCCACCCCCCCCAATCTCTCTCTCTTCTCTCTCTCTCTCTATTCCCCCTCCTCATCCTGGCACAGACATTCTTTCCGCAGTTGAATGAATAGGGTGCGTCATTCAGTCCCAGATAGGAGAGAAAGATTCGGGGGTCGGGGTTGGGATTTCTCGATACCGGCTTCAACTGTGCTGCTGCGATGCAGATGTTGACGATGCTCCGTTGTTTTCTTTGGGGGTAACGGCTCCCGCGTTGACGACTCCTCCCTCCGCGTCGAAGGAAGATGGCGTGCTGCAAGCCTTCGGCTGGATCAGGGGACAAGGATCACGTTACGTGCATGGTACAAAGTATACTATACACAACCAGGTACATACATATGCGAGCGGTACCCTAATGCTAGTACCTGGTAATGATAGTGTCATAGCCTACCGGTTTGGATTGCTGGCGTCCTGGAGCTTGGCGACGATATCATCCATGGTGAGATATATAGTCATCCGGGGATATAGAGGTCCATCATATGAAAGTCCTTATCCTCTACAGATAATAATGATGCGAGAGAGAGAAAGAAAAAAAAGAGAAGAACTTTGTATACAAGTTTGATGAACCTTCAGCCGCAGACGTTCGTAACCCTCTTTAACTCTCTCCTCATGTATCGACCCCCGTTAAGCCCGAAAACACCTCGGGCCACTTGTGGGCGGATACATTGTTCGGACTTGGTGGAGAATATTGTTCCAATGTGTCAAGGGTCTGGACAGACAGAATTTACTCGTTACACCTCATTCAATGTCGTCAATTGATGATTCCCTCACGGCATTGACCCCAAGTGCAGTGCCATAAAGTATCTCTGACAGGCCGCGCAACACGCACATATACTCTCTCCCTCTATCTTTCTCTTTCTATTTTTAATAGTCTACAGTCGGTAGACCAGAGTTGAAGCTGCGCATTTCTTCTTCCCTGTCGTGATAATAACGACTTTGGTCCGTCTCTCTCTCATCTGTCGCGCATCCGGAGGGAGAAACGAGGGGAAAAAAAAGAAGAAGAGAAGAAAAGAAGAGGAAATCATGTTCGGCCTTGGCCGCGACGGCGAAGCGGCCCGAGACGCCGCATCATCAGACTACGATGATAGCAATCAAGCCGATGCTGCGGTTCTGGTAAGTCATCATCGTACTCCGTCTTGAATCTCATGCGCCGAAGCACCCGTGCTAACTTTTTCGATTTTTTTTCCTTCTCTCACATGTAGAAAAATCTGGGATACAAGCCTGTAGGGGAAGACCAAATCAGATTCCTTTCAATCGTGACGTGGTCGGGGGGGGGATTGCGCTGATTTTCCGGACGACATCTACAGGTCCTGCGACGGAGCTTCAACCAATTTCACAACTTCGCCACGACGTTCGGTATGTGATGGCATCCAAGTCCAGCACGGTAACGACTCTGCACAGGACATCTTCTGATATTCTGACCCCAACTATCATAGCTGCTCTGTACTTCATCGGCGGAGTGCGTGTCACCTTTTCTACTGGTATTGCCGCCGGTGGTAACTTGGCCTACTGGTGCGTTGTTTTGCTCTCCTCCACCTCTTTTTTTTCCGTTTTTTTTTCCTTTGTTTTTTCTTTGTCTCTTTTCGCTTTCTTCTTCTTTGCCATGGACTTTATATGTGACACATATATACACATGTCTATCTATCATGTTACTCTTATATTACTCTGCACATCTACTGACCGACCAAAAAAAACTCCCCCCCCCCCCCCCCCTCCCCCAAAATCCAGGTCAAGTTACATTGTTACGTGCGTCTTCACCTTCATCACCGCCGCCGTCGTGGCCGAGATCTGCTCCTCTCTGCCCCTCGCCGGGTCCATCTATCTCTGGGCCGCCGAGGCTGGTGGTCCTAGATTTGGCAGGTTGTTTGGCTTCGTCGTCGCCTGGTGGAGTACCACCGCCTGGACCACTTTCTGTGCCAGTTTGTCTTCTCTCTTTCTCTCTCTCCTCTCTCTCTCCTCTCTCTCTCTCTCTCTCTCTCTCTCTCTCTCTCTATGTGCCTCTGTATGGGTCTTTGCTCTATATAGCCAAACGTCAGCTGACCAGAGAGCTCTCGCCAGGCAACACGCAATCTGCCGTCAACTACATGCTCTCGGTACGTGAAACTTTCGACGACGAGAAGGACTGGTTCCGGAGCTGACCTGCCCAGGAAATCGTCGTCTTCGACGCAGACTTCCCCTCCGACTCGACCAGCGTCAAGTTCCGTGCCGTCCAGTGGATCTGCACGGAGATCATGCTTGCCCTTGCCGCCATCTGGAACCTGCTTCCTCGTAAGTCTGTCCTCAGCACGCATGACCGTCTCGTCCGCTCCTCCGTATCCCCGTCACCAGCCCCCCCCCCTGACACGGCCGCCTCTCTCCCCAGCCCGATACTTCAAGTGGATCTTCACCTTGTCCTGCGGCATCGTCATCCTCGACTTCGTCCTGAACCTGATCTGGCTCCCCATCGCCACCAGCAACACCATCGGCTTCCGCACCACCCACGACGCCTTCATGACCACATACAACGGCACCGGCGCCCCGGACGGTTGGAACTGGTGCCTCTCCTACCTGGCCACCGCCGGCATCCTCATCGGCTTCGACGCCTCCGGACACGTGGCCGAGGAGACCAAGAACGCCTCCGTCGCCGCCGCGAGGGGCATCTTCTGGAGTACCGTCGTCAGCGGGCTCGGCGGCTTCGCCGTCGTCATCCTGTTCCTCTTCTGTGTCGTACGTAGACCTCCTCCCCCCGTCCGCCAACCCTCCTACCCTAGAAAGGAGCGGATATGCAACGCGTGCGTGCTGACACGAGAGGTTAGCCTGATGCCGATACCTTCTTCTCATACGGTGGCCCTCAGCCATTCGTATCGGTGTATGCTGCCATCCTGGGAGAAGGGGGTCACGTTTTTATGAATATCATCTGCGTCCTGGCCCTCTGGTTTGTAAGTTTTTTTTCTTTTTCTTTT